CTTCCTACTCGTAGTGTTTTTAGGTGATTCCAATTCCACAGATAGAGGCCATATCATTGATCTTTTTTGGATGTGTTCCCCATCCCATGTGAAGTCCCTGACGTGGGAGCACTTGAGCCCTGGGACACTTGTCATCAGGCCCTGCTGATCAGACCACATCCTCAGAATCACTGAGTTTTAATTGTGCAATAGTTTTGGCTTTCCTTACACCTTCGAGTTTTGCCAAGAACTTTGTGTTTCCTGCTTTAACTTTCAGCTCATAACTAAACTTCGTGTTGTAAAGTCAAACTAGAGCTTTAAAAGCCTCACTGATCATCCTTATTTTTAGTTGTTCATCTTCAGTGAACAAATGGACAATTGTTTCCTTTGTCCAATGCCCACAGTCGTTTTGATCACAAGAATGAGAATAAGTCTAGCATCTTTTCCCCAGGAGCTTAAAATGCTTCAAGAGGCACTTACTGGATGCCCATGTGCCTAATGGTAACCTTCACTATACTTCTGAGAAAATACATGATTTTTTGCAGGAAGCTTTGAAGTGTGTTGATTAGCCCAGTTACCAGGGAGAAATAGTAGATCCTAACTTGTGTTGTGCACTCCACCCCCCTCCATTTTGGTTCTGTTACCAAGTACAGCAAAGTCCTTCAACAAAACTCAAAGTTTAGACATCACTATTCTCGAACTCAAAATGCATTCAGCCCTTGGTATTGTGCAAGGCATTGTTGGCACAGAGGATGGCTGGACGTGCTCTCTCTGCCCTCCTGCGGCCTATAGTCCGGGATGCAGGGAAGAAGACAGAAAAGAAATGCAAGTTTAAAAAGGTACAAACGTAGGCTATGTGAATGAATGGAATTGAATGTCATAGAGATGAGGAGGCCTGTCAACTAAATGCTTGTAGAAATGGCTTTTGTGTGGACCTTCAAGCATGGTCAAGGCTTCTATAAGGAGAGCTTGCTGGGTAGAAGGGGTTCTTAGGGCAAGAGATAGCACGTGGACAAAGCACGTCCTTGGGAAGGGAAAGAGGGGTCTAAAGGATGGTGGAGCAACTTCTGGAATGAGCTCAGAGAAGGACGCGCCAGGACCTGGCTTACGTGTCGGGACCTTTCTGCTAGAGGTGCAAGAGGTGATGCCACTGTACAAGATAGACTGATGGCCCAGAGAGTCCGCGTTTAGATTTCAGCTATCTCACTCCATTCCTGGGTGACCTTGGACACATCACATGGGCCATACGGGTCGAGGGAGTCACCTATAAAATAGAAAAGGCAAATGGCAAGGGATAGTTGGTGTAACAACAAACCTATATTAGATGCTCCACAAATGTCAAATTAGGACAGTGGGTGTTTTAGCCCTGGTGCTGAAATAAAGCAGGATTGCACCCAGCTCAAGTCTAAAGGGTGATGGAAAGCTCTTTGCACCTGCTGGGTTTTAGGCACCTACTGTTATGAGAACATAGGAATTTATCCTTTGATTTTACTTAGTAGACATTTTCCAGAAGGTTCAAGAAGCCTGTGCTTTGCTCTCTGATGAAGGTGAGCCGATTGCTGTACTGGGCATCCTGGCCACCATTCGGTCTCCAGAGTGGCACCATGCCACGTGGACGCCCAAGTCGGCAGTTCGCTGCTTGAATTCTCCAAATGAGATAAGACTTGCTTTTTTAGACAAACAGCTGCGTCTTTCTTCCGTTCCTTTCGCTTCCTTTCCACTCAGCAGTTTTCCTTTTTGCTCCAGATAAATTGCTGCTAATTTAAATGTACTGCAGATCCTTGCCATTTTATGGCTGATTGCTTCTGAGTTATAGGAGGGAAATGTGTGCACGTTTGAATGTAAATAAATCTAAATGGATCAGAAGCCAGTGGTAAAGAAAGCACAGTGCTTCGCTGACCTTCACCTCCCCCGCCCGCCCATCCCTTTGAAGAGGTCAATGAGCAGATCTGAAATCAGCAAGTAGCAGAGACAGAGTTTTAGGACACATCCTGGGTTTCTCTCTGCTTTCGACTTTACATTCCATTTCTGACAGCACCTGCTTTATCCTTGTTCTTGGTTTTTTTTTGTTTTTTTTTATTTTTTTTGATAAAAGAGCCATTCTCACGATAACTACCATGCACCATTGGAATGCTGCAAATCCTTCAGAATGTCACGTTGTCAAAATATCTATATTTCAGGCTCAGAAGCTAGACAGCTCGTTTGGCTGCTAAACCCTCAAGATGTTCAGCCATTTGTTGTGGTCTAAAAACTTTCCCCCTCACTAGGAGAAAATAATGATCTATTGTTTGATATCATTTTGTGGCCCCTTTCTTGAGTTTCTGGTAACATGAGTGGGCAAAAGTCAGGTCTTGGTAGGTAAATCGGGGCCTGATTGAATCTTCCTATCAGCTCCTTAGAAATACGAAGCACCAGGTACATTTCCGTATAAAAGAGTCAAGTCTTGAAATCAGACTGGTTTTTCACTATCTGGTGGCGTATCTTTAGTGCGTCAACTGTTTTGTGAAGATCAAGTGTATCAGAGAGGAGTCTGACTTGCCCTCCTGGAGGTGGAGGGTGGACGTAGTAGCAGTTTGAATGCAGACACGGCACATGGCTTATCAGTGCAACAGCCTGGCTTTTCCTCACCAGGAAGACGTCGTGTGTGTTATTCTGGTTGGCTTTACTCCCCTTGTGGCGTGGGTGTGTGGCGCTGAGGTACAGTTCTTGGAGAAGGATGCATCACGAAAGGCAAAGCAGAAGGAGGTTGAAGAGGGACACTTGACATCCATTTAAGTAGGGCTGGATGCAGTTGCAGCCTGAGTGAATGGCAGCCCAGAGAGCTCGCATCTAGCAAAGCAAATTGTTTCCCAAACTGTAATAACGAGCTTGGGTAGGCCTCAGGGAGGAAGATGGCAAATCGAAGCAAAGGAAGGGTGGCCTGGGGCCTGCTGTAAACACTCTGACACGAGTAAACTCTTAAGAGTTCCTGTGCCATAAACCCATTGGAAGGAAATAAGGCTCACTTTAATAGTTTAGTCCATTCTGTTATTATTAGTATTTTAATATCAAATGCTTTTCAAAATTGAATGTGCAGAGAGAGTGGTATACTGAATCAGCCAGTCTTTTGTTTTGGGGATGATGTCTTCTATTTGTATCACCAAGTTCCTCCTGTTTTTATTGGCAAACTTGATATCCTAATATTAATCCTATTGTTTCAGTGGGAAGGAATTTGAGACCCACCCTCTTAGAGCCCTAAGGTGTTTGGTTAGTTAATTTGGCACGCTTGTTCTACGTGTCAGAGTGCACTCTGAAGCCAGTGAGGCTTATGCTTGCCTGGAGGCTGAACTTTGAGAAAAGAGACTAAAGTCAGAAATGAAGGAGTTTCCATCGGCACCACTGTGTGCATCCTGCATGCTCAGTGTTTTGTGGGTGATTAAATCCATAAGTGATGTTTGGCATCTGTACCGAGTGCTTTTCCTGAGACTTGGAAGGGCGGGAGAGAGAAGAGCCATGGAAATTCAGCTCCGTAGACTCTTCGAGCGTTGTTGTAAATGATGATACAGATTGGTGGTGGTAATTACAGCTCTGGAGGCAGATGACACCAGTGCTTGGCAGGCCAGACGCCAGGTTGAGGAAGATCCAGAGTCTGGAGGGCTGGGTTTAGAAGTGCCTTCCGAAGCTGAACTTGAACATGTCTTGGGGGTTTCTACCACGACGTCATCGATTTCGTCACTTAGGGATCTGAGGAAGCTTCATGCAGATTACACACACAGAACTAAATGTGATGAATCTCCCCTGTTCTCGCTGGGTTTTCCTAGTGAAGTTGAAGGGATTTTGTCCTTCCTGCAGTGACAGGGCAAGGTGGCCGCAGAGTACAAGCTTCTGGGTCAGAATTTGAGCTCCGGCCCATGCTTTGTCAGGCCTCCAGCAAGCTGCTTTGCTCATAGGGCCTCAGTTTTTTCACCAGGAAAGTGGGAGCAATAATAGAACCCTCCTCATAGGGTTATCGTGAACTTAAGAGGGCTAATTTGGACAAAGAGCTTAGAAGAAAGCCTGGTACCAAGTGGATTAGCTGTTGTTTATTGCGCAAGTGGTGTGCTCATCTTTCTCCATCTGTGGGATGGTTAAGTATTTTAGGCCAAGGAATTCCGTTTTCTTTATTTTTGTATCATCTACTGTAGTGTCTACTATTTGGTCACTGCTCAATTAATGTTTGCAGGATTAATTAACATTAAGTATTATATATTACATATATAATATATACATATACTATATGCCTTATATATGCAATATATATATATGTGTGTATATATATATACACATATGTGTATATATATATACACACACATAGGCAATATACCACGTTGTATGCTATATATCGTATGTTATATAATAGATATTCCATCTATCTATGTGTGCATGTCATGTATATGGTATGATACTTAAGTGATTTAAGGCAATTAATTATTTAATACTAGGATTCCTGGAAAAGAATCTAAATCTTAGTGTGGTCCGGTATTTCACAGTTAAAGCTAGCCAATTCTCTGATCTGGTTGCTGAGTAATGAATCTGTTATTTTACAAATAATTTGGTAAAATTAAGTGAGGAAAGAAAAATCAGAATTTGAGTAGATATTTGTTGTTGAGTTTTATTTTATTTTTTTTTCACTGTGCATAAAAATTCTCCAGGACTCATCTATATTACACACAGATTTCTCCTCCTTAAATTAAGATGTTAACATCTGAGACTGTTGTGCAGAGCTATGTGCAGAAATCCCTCGCACATCTTTCCGGTGTTTCCTGGGCCACATAAGATCGGTTTGAAGTTTAAAACTAAGTGGCTTGACAGTGAGATGCACGTTTTTCTCCCAATTTTCCTTCTGTGATTATCTATTCCTTTATGTTTTAAAGCATATTCCATGTTGTGTCTTGATTTTGATTATTTATTATGTTCTTTTTAAAAGTGATTATACTTGTGTGTTAATTTTCATTGATTTTTGTTTTGAGCATGACTTATGTTTTATTTTGTGTTTCTTTTAGGTTTTGTTTTGTTTCATAAGATCCCACTGGATGGGTAGCTGAAATAAAGGCAAAGACAGAGAAGGGGGCTGTGGTGCTTGTTGGTTGATGCTGCACTGTAAGCCGGACTCTTGGGATGGGCATTGGCTTCTCCCGGGAGGTGCCGCTTAGCTGGGGGTCTTCTAGTAGCTGTGGGTGGTGTTTGCAGGAGGTCCTGTGTGAAGCCGGCGGCTGTCCTGAGCTGTGTTTGGGGAGCACCGCTGCAGAGGCAGCTCCCAGGCTGCTAAGCAAACACTCAAGAAAACATCTTAAGTTAATGCTTCTCTTTTGTTCTTGCAATTGTTCAAATATGAAATTGACATGGGATTCCGTTGGTTTATGCTTCTCTTCTGAAAGGAGTGTTCTTTGACCATACTGGAAATGTAATGATTCTTATTGTTTCTGTTCATTAAAGGTGAACTGCAAAGTTTAAAAAAAAAATCTAAATTTAGGGACAGGTATAAGAACACACTAAACAGCCTAATCTCCACGTAACACGTAGTTTAGCGTTGTTTTCTGTTGATGTTTAATGAAGACCGAATTCAGAAAGTCTCTCTTTTCCGTCTACAACGCATCGACTGAGAAAGTTAAGGGCATCGCTGTGGGGACTTGGCCAGGCCACCGAGAGGTTCTCTCCTTCACTGATGATAAAGGTCCAGAGTCATGCAATCAATGCTAATGATTTTTCTAAAGTTTGTTAGCAGGTGAAAAATAAAAGGAGCTCTGTGGTCAGGGGCTCTAGATTTAGGTTACGTGTAGTCAGTTTCAGAATAACTACAAGAGTGAAATAGACACACATGGCGCGCATGTCCTTTTATTTGCCCCCTGCGATCCACCTGCTTTTTAGAAGTTTCCTAGTGAGAAGGCCGCAGTATCTCATGCTGTTCCCATGACAGAACTGCAGCTTTTCTACTCTGAAAAGGTCTGCAGGCAGAATGGCTGGCCTGCTGGGAGCAGGAGACCATATTCTAAGAAGGATAGATACTGCATACTACAGTACTGCTGGTTTTCATGGGCAGGAAGGCTCTTCCTGACCCCAGCAGCACAGAGGTAATGAGCGTGCGCTTTATCAGGTCCAGCCTCATTGCCGAGAGGGTAGCCTGGGAGCTACAGAATCCTGCGTCCCTGCCTTAGTCCTGTCACGGACACCTGTTTCGCTCACTTGGCCATTGCAGTGACCTTTGTCCGCTTTGTTCAGCCTGTGCCAGGTAGGATCCCTGTCCTGCAGACAGGTTCAGCTGCCCTCGCTCCAGCTCACCTCACACTTTCCACGGGAGGGGGGCGACAGAGCCAGGCCCGGAGCATTTCGCTTGAAAGCACGATCACCTCTGACCGTGAAGGCATGCTCAGAGACGCCATGGCTGGATGATGATGAAGGAAACTTACTGACATTTGAAAAAATTATTATTATTTTTTTTGAAATAGTTACTTAAGTTTTGCAGTTCAGCTTTAAGGATTTCTAGATTTTTTACTAGTCCGACATGTTCGGAAACATTGTTTCGCGTCCTTTGTAACTGAGGCATTAATCTTAATAAACCAGGATCCACTTAGGCACCACTTGATATAAAAGGATTATCCATGATGAGTATTTTATACTGTATCTTTTACATTAGCCACTAAATATGTTATTGCTTGATAGAGACATTTCACAGGGTCCTATGGATTACAGCATTGAACTTGGCTACTCCTTACCCCCGCCTCAGAGAGGGGCAGTTTCTCGGAAGCATACACAGGCTGCTTGTTCTCAAACGTGTGCTTTCCAAAGACACATTTGAGTGGGGAAAGCAACGGGCCTTTGGTGTGGGGGGGGTCTGAATATTCCCTGGATTCCCATTTGCTTGCTCACTGCTAAATGACAGGTCCTGTCACTACTTAGATTTTGATCTCTCCCAAAGTTGTTGATTTACAAAGAGGCCAGCCAGTTAATTGCAGAAAACTTGAACCCTGAAAGGAAAAGGAGATTCACACAGAGGGCGGACCAGAGGTGATCAGTACCCCAAGCATTCTTAAATATCAGCCATTCGGTGCAAGTTTTTTTTTTTTTTTAACCCTTTAGATTTTATTCCATGGAACCAGAAAAAGGCAATGAATCGTTTAAGAACTATTTTCTACGTTCCCCACACGCAAAAGGAAAAAGAAAAAAAAAAAAGGAATATTTGTATTCAACAGCTAGAAGACTTGCAGGGTAGATTTTTGTTTTAAAATGGAGAGAAGTGGACAGATAAGGCAATTTAATATATCAAAGAGCAGTTGACATCTCCTAGGGAACGATGAAAACAGCAGGCTATTAGAAAATTGTTTCATATGGTTCTTGTGTTCCTTGCTTTTCATTTTTCTTTAATCCCCGAAGACCACAGTCAGTGACATATTTTCTCATTTCTATGCTCTAGACCACCCTCTTTCATCCTTTGCTTTTTATGTCCCCTACAAGACATCTTTTTACAGCTTCCTAATGACACGTATCATGTATTTTTTTCAGCATTAGAAAACGACAGGCAGCATTTTTGCTGAAATCAAGTCCATTGCCCCCCAGCCGGGACCTGGCGTCTCAGTGCCAGGCAGGCGCCCTTGGCAAAGGGTGCATGCTGGGCGTGCGGACACCCGGCCCTGCAGAGCCAACTCCTGCCTCCCGGGAATGGGGCCCCAGTTTCCCAAATCTTCTGATTCTTTAAGAGAAACTTGAAACCTGGATTTTTTTTTTAAATGTGAAATGTCCCTATTTTTAAAAAGTTGGCTCGGTTATTTTTAAAACATTATGTAGGCCAACAAAACATGTCTGTGGGCTGCCAGGTTGTTACTTTTGTCTTAAAGCAACATCATTGTTCTCTGTTTCCTACTATCTTTCCTTTGCAAATGCACTTCCCAGCATGGCCATTGAGAGCTTTTTTTGCCGTGGAGTTTGGTGCCCGAGGGATCTGCACATGTCCCTTCCCATCGGGGCTCTCCTGTGACTTCTGCTAGCTGGGGCCTTGACTTCGTCACCCTCGGTCACTGTTTTCCCTCCGTCCCCAATGGGCCCCACTTCTGAGTGGCGGGAGACCACCTAGCAAGTCCTTCCTCCTGTTTTGTCTGACATGGGCCTTCCTTTCATCAGGGTCCCTGTCACATGGCCCACTTGGATGGGGTTCGATGGGAGAGCCACACAGGCCCATTCACGGGTCCTTGATGTACTGGTGTGGCCGCTGGTAAATGGGAAACAAGCTTGCCACCTCAAGAGGTGTGGTTCAGGCCCTGTGTCTTGAATGGTGTCCCACTGAGACCCTCCGAGGCCACTGAGACAGACTAAGGATCCCCCACTGGCATCCCCAGAGACACCGGTTTGAGGCCAAAGAAGGTGCATCTCCCGATGGGAGAAATTCTTGGGTTTTCACTCCTGGTCTCCCAGCCCAGACCCATTTCATTTTTAAGATTTTATTTATTCATTGGAGACACAGAGATAGAGAAAGAGAGAGAGAGCATGAGCAGGGGGAGAGGCAGAGGGAGAAGCAGGCTCCCCGCTGAGCCAGGAGCCGGACGTGGGGCTCGATCCCAGGACTCTGGGATCATAACCCGAGCCGAAGGCAGTGCTTAACCATCTGAGCCACCCAGGCGCCCCCCCCATTTCATTTTTGACCCATCGAATGTTCTTTCCAAAAGTAGGGGGCACAGAGGAGAAGGAAATAATCCCAGCCCCACCCTGCCACATAGGGCTCAGAGGAGGTTGGCCCCTGCTTCCAACTCTTCTGAAGGACACCCCGAGTGGTTGGGGCTCGAGGCTCCCCCCAGACAGAGCAGAGGCCACGGTTGTTGGACAGTCTGAAGAGCAATCAGCTCAAGGAGAACAAGGCAGGAATTCAGCTCGCTGCCAGGTGCCGGAGCACGCGTGATGGAAGCGCTCCAGCTTCGTCTCTCCTTTTCTCTTGATCTGCTTAGAATTCCTGACTTTTCTCTCTTTCTCTCTAGCAATCTAAATTGACTCCATGACAAACAGGGGGCTTGTTTTCATTGGCTTTCTTGGTTGCTTTGCATACGCTTTGTTGTTGTTGTTGTTGTTCATTGCAAAATGGGACCAAACACGAATGGAGCCTGAACTAACCTCTCTCATGCCACTGTGGAGCAGATGATGCACTCTTGCACTGTTCTGGTGCTTTCTATCTAGCACTCCTCCCTGGTTTTCATCTCATCCCCTCACACAACAGTAGATGCTCATTTCACCTTGCCTTGTCCAGACCAGATGCAGAGGGAGAGACAGGACTCATGTCATCTGGTGCCTTCACAGGGCGGCTGTGTCCGGCCATGTGGGCTGTGCCCTTCCTGTCTAGCCAAGGTCAAGGGTCCCCCTGGGGTCCTGCAGACTGGACTCCAAGGACACCTGGGTAGAGGCCACCATTTCATTAAATGAGTTCTGCTGTGTTCACACACCTGCAGTGCCCACGAGCCATGTCAGGTTTATTCCAGGGCACTTGGGAAGGTTAAGGACTCTTCCGGACAGGGCAAGAATATAATTTTCCATGGGGTGCTGCCAAATGGAATTAAGTGAACAGAACTCCCAACCCAGAGAGTGACATGAAAACAGTTGTCACAGAAGGCAGCTTTCCACTCGGGTTAGTCCGTTTCCTTGTTCGGTCATAGGGACAAGGGAACCCCCCAGCCCTCTGATTCTGATGGTGAGATCACTCTGGATTTCATTCAGGTGAGTGTTGCAGTGGAGTCTTGGGGTGTTCATTACTGAGCACCCAAGATAGGATGCTATTGGCTTGTGTCTTAGTTTTCACGGAAAAAAAAAATGTGTGAGAAGCAAAGGAAAGAACAGAGATTTTCACCCCCTTTATTTTTCCATTTATGAATGGAGCATAATCAAATATAAAAGAGTGAGAGATTCTGTTCACAATGTTTAGGTATATCAAATCATCACATTGTACCCTTTAACTGTCTTACACATTTATTTGTTAATTACACCTCAATAAAGCTAAAAAGAAAAAAATGGGAAAAAAAACTAGCAAGAGCTTCCGGAGAAAGACAAATCCTTGGGTTTCATTCACTTCCTGTTCAAATCCATTTGCTGTAATCCATAGGCAGTCTGTGAATCATAAGCATGTCCTGTTTTTCTCCATAATGTTCCAGGGTTTTAAAGTCATTTTTTCACGTTTCCTGTAAATAATGGATAATCATTTTTATTTTATTTTTAAGTGCTGTTTTAACAATGTGGATAGACCATAAATGTACTTGCTGAATTCATTCATTTTTTTAACAAGGCAATAAAGTTTTATAATTCATCTCCATGTGTCTTGCATTCTGTGTAGGGCCTTGTATACCTCCCCTCCCTTCCTCAAACACATACCATCACCCCGTGTGGCATTGGCGATCCTCAAGACTAAAGGTGTCAGAAGGAAGAGTGTGAGAAACATCACCGAGCGTTTTGGGGAAGTCCCAAACTCACGATAGATCCTGGAATACATCTTCTCTCCCCCAAAAAGGGACCTTTAAAATTTCCATCATTCTGAATTATACATTTATGGTTAACTGATTCTTGCACCGGATATGTTTTCATTGGCTAAAAAGCAGTTCTAGAAAACAAAAGTTTAAGGGAATTAAAAAAAAAAAAAAAAAAAAAACAACCAACAACCTACGTTCTGTGGGAAAGTCTTTTGGTATTTTAAGAACTTGGAATGATCCAGGTCCTAGCAAGAGGATATACTCAGTGCTCTGTCCCTCCATTCTAAGCGACTTGTAGCCAAATGAACATGATGACTTGTGCTTTCATGGAAGAGAAGAGAGAGAGGAAGACAAGTGGACCATAGAGATAGGATGGCGTTGAACCATAACCATTAACATAGTACCCGCACTTCATAGTCCTCTTGTCTCCGTCCCCCAGGCTTGTCCCTTTTTAATTTTTTCCTTTTAGGATAAGACCTAAAAAGCAAGGTTTATAGGACCCCAGATTCATTTGAGCCTGCTTTCACCTTCTGGGAACGTTGAAAGGGTTTTGTACCAAATTGAAGGGTAAGGACTGGAAAAACTGATCCAATGTGACCTGCTGTCTC